ATAATAATAATTTAAATCTCAAAACATCCACAACTATATATATAAAGGAAATCTGCACCCCAAAATGTACATCTTCCAAAACCTAGTGAAGTATAAGTCTAAAGCTCTAGATACAGTGCAGAACGCTCCTATACATCACTGTCTACAAAAATATAAAGGAACAAGAAAAGAACAGAATAGAAGGGAACTCCGAGGCCTGCGGACACGGGCAGGTGTACCTTGAAGTCTCCAAAGCAGCAACACAACGCACTAATATTGAGGCTGATAGGATGTACCTGGATCTGCACAGTAGAAGCGTAGTATGAGTACACCACAACGGTACCAGTAAGTGCCAAGCCTAACCTCGGTAGAGTAGTGACGAGGTAAGGTCAAGGCCCTACTAGAGATAATAAGAAACAAGACAAGATATAATGATATAATGAAAATGACTGGGAAGTGAACAATAAAGAATTTATGGGAAATAACCACACGGGATCAAGGAAAGCTAATACAACACGAAAGGAAAACAAGAATTTTACATGTTAAGGAAACAAGAACCAAACAATACTGCAAATAAAGAACAACAGGGGCATTCCCGAGGTACCGCCTCGTAGTTCCAAATCGTAAAAACAAATCACAGTCTTTACTTATATCACCGCGGGAGCCTTTATATTTGGTTTTGAAAATTATTTTTCCCGAAATAGCATCCCGCTTTTTAGCCCACCTTATCACACCGCATGACTTCTAATAGTTTTCCTACTAGCCACGCGTATCAAGCCCACCTTATCTCAACGCATGCGTTTCAACACCCAGACCTTATACCACCACATGCGTATCAATAATCACAACGGCACGGCAGAAACCTCGTGCAACAACAACAACCACACGACAGAAACCTCGTGCCAACAATAACAACCGCACGGCAGAAACCTCGTGCAAACAACCAAACAATCACTTCAACAATAACACGAAAGCCAAAACGCAACAACTAAATAAATGATATTTCAAGGATAGCAATTTCAAGTAAAGAATTTTCACAGTTAAGTAATGAATACGGAAATCAAGAAAAACAAGTAATTCAACTAAACATGTGATACAAGTTGCAAATAGGAGATAAGACAAGTAGACATGTGAAATTAGGCTAAACATGATGACTATAACGTGGTAAAGTAACTCAATTAAGGCATGAAAAGGAAACTACGTAGAAAAAATCGAAATTTCAATATTTAGCCCGTGTACGCACTCGTCACCTAACGTACACGACCTTCACATATCACAAATTATCACCAAATACCAGATCCTAAGAAGAATTCCCCCCACACTAGGTTAGACAAGTCACTTACCTCAAACCACGCTTAATCAATCAATTAGAAGGCTTTTCCCTCGATTTTCCAACTCCAAACGGCTCGAATTTAGCCAAAATAATTTCATACTATAAATATAACTATATGAAGCTAGTTTAAATAATGAAATAATGATTTTTGGAAGAACTGGAAAACTCGCTCCAAAAAGTCGACCCTGGCATACGTCTCGGAACCCGACCAAAATCATAAAATCCGAACACCCATTCGATATCGAGTCCAACCATACAAGAATTATCCAAATCCGACCTCATTTAGCCTTTCAAAACCCAAAAACTTGGTCTAAGAACTTCTCCACTTTTTCCCCAATTTTAAACTCCAAAACCATAATTAAAAGGTGAAATTAACAGTTGATTCATGGGAATTAATCAAAAACGAGTCAAGAATCTTTACCCAAATGCTTCGTCTGAAAATCCCTCAAAATCTCGCCTCAACCCGAGCTCTCAAAGTCCCAAAAATGAAAATAAAGCAAACCCTCAAAAAATCCTCTTTTCTGAGTTATGTCGCACCTGCGACCTCTCCACACCAGCGGAATTTCCATTGCAGATGCGGTTATTACTAAGCCCAGCACACTTCGCATCTGCGAGGGCAGGTCGCAGCTGCGCATGCGCGCCTGCGGCGACTAAGTCGCACCTGCGCTTCTGGCCGCACCTGCGTTCTTCTCCAACGCTGAAGCGACGCCGCTTCCGCGAAGCAATTGCCATACCTGCGAGCCATGCCTGGACTGCCCTCTCTGCTTCTGCGTTCCACTACTCGCACATGCGAGTCTGCACCTGCGACCAATCCCTCCGCAGGTGCGATGACACCAGAACTGGGAGCTTCAGCATTTGCACAAGTCCAAATTTTATTCCGATATCGATCCGAATCACACCCGGGGCCCCCGGGACCCCGTCTGAATATACCAACTAGTTCCAAAACACCTAACAGACTTAGTCGAGGACTCAAATCACCTCAAACAACATCAAAAACACGAATCGCACCCGAATTCAAGCCTAATGAACTTATAGATTTTTAACTTCTACATCCGATAACGAGCCCTACCAAATAACGTCCGATTGACCTCAAATTTTGCACACAAGTCATAATCGACATTACGGACCTATTCCAACTTCCGGAATCGGAATCCAACCCCGATATCAAAAAGTCCACTCCCGGTTAAACTTTCCAAAAATCTTCCAACTTTCTATCTTTCGCCAATTAACGCCGGAATGACCTACGGACCTCCAAATCAATATTCGAACATGCTCCCATGACCAAAATCACCATACGGAGTTATAGGAACCGTGAAAACTCCATTCCGGAGTCTTCTTCACACAAGTCAATCTACGGTCAACTCCTACGACATAAACTTCCAATTTAGGGACTATGTGTCCCATTTCACTCTGAAACTCAACCGAAACAAAAACCAAACATCCCGGCAAGTCACGTAACCACAGAATGAAATAGAGAGAGCAATAAATAGGGAGATCGGGGCTAATACTTTCAAAACGACCGGCCGGGTCATTACAACACAAATCATAAATCTCCACACAAACCTATTCCATGGCTCGAAATCCCAAACAGACATCGATAACCCCAAAGTCAACCTGGGTCAAACCTATCAACTCTCCAAGGCATCAAACTTTCAACTTTCGCCAATTTGAGCCAAATCAACCTAGAAACCTCCGAACCCAATTCCAGACTTACGCCTAAGTCCAAAATCACCGTCCGGACCTAACAAAACTATCAAAACTCCGATCTGAGGTCAAATATGCAAAAGTCAAACTTGGTTAACACCTCCAACTTAAAGCTTCTAAAATGAGAATAATTCTTTCAAATCAATCCCGAACCACTCGAAAACCGAAACTGACCATACACGCAAGTCATAATACATCATCTGAAGCTACTCGCTGCCTCAAACCACCGAACGAAAATGCAAATGCTCAAAACGATCGGTGGGGTCGTTACAGACTTTGCTCAGAAAATGGAACTTGAATGAACTTTTTTGCAGAAGTGTTACGACCCAAAATCTCACCTAGTCGTGATGGCATCCAACGCCAACATGCTTGGTAAGCCAAGAAATAAGTAACACAACTCGAAAGGAAATCATTAATAATCAATAGATAAAATGACATAAACTCCAAATTTCACCTCCATTCGGCTTAAATCTAGGAAAAAATAACTTAATAACATCAAACAACGCTATTGGATTCAATTCCAAACAATAAAGTTTCAATCTTTACCCCATTCTCAAAAAGCAACAAAAGTCAACCCCAGGCCTACACGGTCGAAATACCAGTCAAGGGGTAGATCCCGACTACCCATAACCCCACGAGTCTAAATATGTGATTAGATTCGAAAACCGAATCCAAATCGACTCTCAAACCTCCAAATTTCATTTTCCAAAACATAGTCAAAAACTCTCGAAAGTTCTCTTTTAAATTCTATAATCTAGGTGTAATAATTCATGGGGAAACAAGATATAATATCAAAATCAAGTAGGAAAAACTTACCCTCTGGCCTTGTGTGAAAACCCCCCTAAAAAATCGCCCCTCTCTAAGTTTAGGGCTCAAAATATGAGAAAATGGGTTTAAGTTTCGAAATACACCACTTATAACCAGCTTCAAATGTCGCAAATGCGACCTCAGGCTCGCAAATGCAAACCCCCACTGACCTAACAGACGTCGCAAATGCGACCACAAACATTGCAAAAGCGAAGTGCCCCATCCCGCCATGTCGAAATGCTATCAAAATACTTCGCAAATGCGAAGTCCCAACATGACAGCCAACATCGCAAATGCGAAGAAGTCCCTCGCAAAAGCGAGGTTCCCCACTCGAATCACACCTGGTGCCTCGTCCAAACATACCAACAAGTCCGAATACATTATCCAAACTAATCCGAAGGCTCGAAATATCATCAATAACATCAAAACCAAGAATCGAACACCAAAACTCATCATACAACCTTCAAATTCAAGAACTTCAAATATTCACAATCAAGCGTTCAATTCATACTAACTTAACCCGGAATGAAACCAAACTTTGCACACAAGTTCCATATGACAAAGGGAACCTATTTCAAGTCTCGGAATAACAATCCGAACCCGATAGCCTCAAAGTCAACTTGTGGTCAAACTTATGAAATTTCTAAACCTTCAAATTGTCAACTTTCGGCAAAAGAGCCAAATCATCATAGGTACCTCCAAATTCAAATCCGGACATACGCCTAAGTTTACAATCACTATGAATCTATTGGAACTATCAAAACACGAATCCAGGGTCGTTTACTCACAAGTCAAACCTCGGTTAACACTTCCAACTTAAAGCTTTCAAATTGAGAATTACGCTATCAAATCAATCCCAAACTTCCCAAAGATCAAAACCAACCATATGAAGCCACTCGAAGTCTCGAATTAGAGAACGAAATGCTAGAACTCAAAACGGCCGGTTGGATCGTTACAAGAAGCTGATCACCTTTTGTTTGTAACTTTTGGTGGTCATATTGTTCACAAAATTGGTTAATTATGCATAGTAAGTTGTCATATCAGTAATAAAGAGGGCTATCATCTTTTTTGAAAGGTTATCCAATCTTTTGATGATTACAATTAACGGAAGTCATTTTGGTGAACCCCAAACTAGAGTGGAAAATTTGTAACTCTTTTCTTATTTATGTGCGCACAGAGTTCTGCACTCGGATTTTTACTTGCCCAGAAGCATTTCACAAACCCTCTTGTTGCTGTACCTTCTGCTGTTAGCGTGGTCTGCATGGCGGTAGGACCCTGTGCCCATATATTTTCCTTATACATATTTATACCCTACATATCTTGTCTAATGTACTCCTACTGTAATTCTTTGGGATGTTCTCTCATCGTTACCATGTTTCACAGCTTGGTGGAAGTGCTCTAGCTGTGTACTGGAGGAACCGGCCAATTCCTGTTGATGACAAGGATGATTTTAAGGAGTAGGACCTCCGCTGCTGCTGCTGCTGCTGCTTTTTGTCGTCGTTAGTTTGTTAGATGAAGTTAAAAGCTCAATCATGTCTAATTATGCAAAGGCATGGCTGGGTAGCTTGCATTTCTTGGCTGAAGCTGTAGCCGAAGCTAAATTTTGGACCTTAGAAAGTTCTCCAATTTAATATGTTAGAAGCATAGCACTAGAGAGCCTTCCAAAATATTTTAAATATGTATTGGGCTACCCATGGCATTGTAAGCAAAATTTAGAAGGCTGTGCTTGTAATGTTAAACTAGGAAATTTCTAGTAGGACTCTTGGTTTACTGCATCTATTTATTGGAATAGATAAGATTATGTTGGATGAAGGACACGAGCTTGAATTAAAAATGTTGAGCAGGGGGGGTAAAGTGTAGTTATACTGTTATAGCTTGTTTGGCCAAGTTTTTGGGAGGTCAAATTTGTTTTTTCCTTTAAAAAATGCTATTTTAAAAAGTTGGAAGTGTTTGGCCAAGCTTTTAGGAGAGAGAAAAAAGTGCTCCGAAGCAAAAGTTGTTTTTACCTTTTCGCGAATTTACCTTTGGCAAAAACTTTTGAAATACCAAAATAATCCTTCTTACTTTACTCTAATGTTTATGCTATTCTAATTGCAATTCTTGGGAACTCTCCTCGTGTATAAATATTTCTTCTTATCTTTAGGGTAAATTTTTAGTATTTAGTGATTTTTTGGGGTGAATATCTTTTATATTTATTGAAATTGTTTTGATATATTTAAATTATTTTGAAAGAGTAAAAGCACTTTTCAATTTTATTTTCATATTTTGCTTAATAAAAATGAAAAACTTAATTATAATCTTTCATAATAAATATTTTTAATTATTTATCTACTTAAATACTATTGATTATTTATGCAAAAATTTTCATATCCTTGGTCGTAATTTGACACGCAAAAGCGACTTTTGATAATTTTGGCCAAACATAAATAGCTGTTTGAAGGTGCTTTTTAAATTGATTAGCCAAACACAAATTGCTTCAAAAGTACTTTTGAAAAAAAGTTTTTTTTGTTTAAAATAAGCAGATTTTAGAAATTTGGTAAAACATGTTATAAATTCAAAGATAATGCATTAGCACCATCCTTAAATCAGTCTTTTTAAGTAAGGCCTTAACAAACAAGTGTCTCTCTCCTCATCTACGACTTAATTTTAAAGATATCTCCTATGTCATAACTCAAAATTAATACCGTGATGATACCTAACCCAACCTGCTAGGTGAATTAACACACATACACGATCATAACAATAATATAAAGGAAGTCCAATTGGCATGATAGAGATAATAGCATGAATAAGTCTGAAATCAACATCCAAGCGCGGGATACTACATAAATTCCCAAAATTAGAGAGCGAAGTCATGAGCTACTAAATAGATCACAATAGAGTCTCAAATATAAAAATACTGTCTAGAACAAGAAATAGTAGAATAAAAGGAAGGGGACTCCTTAAGCATCGAATCCAAGTATAGGAGCTCACCAGAAGTCTCCAATCAAGCTCCTAATTACCCTCTTGAATGCCCCAAGGATACCAGGATCTGCCTAAGACAACGTGTACTTAGTAAGTATCAAGTCGGACCCCAACGAAGTAGTGGTGAGGTTTTGAGTAAAGATACTCAAATTCCATAACCTGTTCAGTTTAGAAATATACACGAAGTAGAAAAATAACCAATAAATAGTGTATGAGAATATCATAGTTAAAGCACGAGATACTAGGCATACTTTTGAAATAAAATGATCAAAAACATAAATCAAGGTCCCGAGTCTACATATAAAGATGATATGCAATAGTTAGCATTTATATGTATGCTTTTACATGAGTCCAGAATGTTTATGCATGGTAAAGACTCAAATTTTACATCAACTGGCACTTCCAGTGCCCCGGCACTCCTAGTGCTGAACCACTTGTATGCCACCAAAAGAGAAATATAGGAGGACAACTCTAGAGGGATGCATCCGTATCCACACGCAAAATAGGAACGTGACTAGCATGCTCAATACACGGACAACTCACGCACCATAATAATCTAAATTCGCACGGACAACTTACGTGCCACATGCTCAGTCCATGTCAGAGAACTATATGCATGGATGTATGCATTTGAACAAGAGATAAGAATATCTACACAATGCATATAGACAAGAGGAATAAACATGTAAGGATGTATGCATGTGTCTAGTGTATGACTACGACTACAACATATAATCTGACATACAAATTAGCCTATCATGTCCAAATTAGGTATCAAAAACCTAGACATGATCTCCACCAAGAATAAGAAAGTTCAAGTAGTCATACAAACAAAAAAAGCATGTTACAAGTAGAATATGAATCGAAACAAGGCATAAAGAAGCCTAAAATATACCCCAAAAATGATATAACCTTGGTGCTCGCATATACACTCATCACCTCGCATATACGTCTTTCCCAAACACGTAGTATGTGCACATAAGCTCATTTTAGGAAAACTTTCCTCAAGTCGAGGTTAGCCATGATACTTATCTTATCCATAATAGGCTTTAACCTTCCAAAATGCCTTTTCCTTTATCCCCGGCTTTCAAATGCTCACAGATTAGCCAATAAATACTCAACAAAGTCAAATAAAGCTATAAGAATCAACTCCAAACGATAAAGCTATGATCTTTAATAAAATTTCAAAAGTCAATAGAAGGTCAACCCCGAGCCCACATGGTCAAAACCCAAGACCAAAGTCGGATCCCGTTGACCTATAACTTCACGGGTTAAATATATAATTAGTTCCTAAATTCGAGTCCAAACTGGTGTTCAAGACTTCAAAATATACTTTTTTATCTTTCAAGTCAAAAATCATCTTTTCTTCTTTCAGATTCCTTAATTCAGAGGCAAAAATAATGATAGATCCAAGCAATAATCATAGATCTAGGTTAGAATTTTTTTACCCAATGACGTAGAATCTCCTCCAAAAATCTCCCAAATTTGTGTCTTATAGCTCCCCAAATGATAATGTAAAGTCTAGATATGAAATGGGGATTAAATAGGCCAAAAATAAAATTTCAGCAACTGGGAGCTCATCCATAGCCGGTGCGTCGTCAGAACCCCAAACGAGCTACCTCCTGGCTCGTCTCCTTCTCTTACATCACGAGCCAGATCGCGAGCCTCTGCAACCTGGCGCTGACCTGCTGGTTTTGCTTTTCCAAACTATGCGCGAACAACCTACAACTCACCAGAGCTCCCTGGGATCCCGCCCAATCATCCCAAGCTAGTTCACATACCCTATACGAACTTTCGTAAAGGCTCAAAATACATACAAAAATATCACAACTGCGAATCAAGATTCAAACCAAATTAAGAACTTTCTTAAGTTTTTCAAGTTTCAACTTTTACAAGGTACGTTCGAATTGCATCGAGCCCTTGGGTGCTAATCCGAACATATGTACAAATTTAAAATTATCATACAAACTTATCTAAACCTTCAAATCACCAATCCGAGCTCATTAATCCATAATATTGACTTTGGTCAACTCTTTTAACTTAAGGCCTCTAGTTAAGAATTATGTGTTTCAAATTACTCCTGAACCTCTTGGTATCCGAATCACCTATACCCGCAAGTCATAAAATACCAAATGAACTTACGAAAGTCTCAAATAGGGGAGTGAGTTTTAGAACTCAAAATGACCAATTGGGTCGTTACATTCTCCACCTTTTAAATAAATATTTGTCCTCGAATGAGTTTAGAAATGTATTTGGATTGTCAAAAAAATGTGGACTCCATCTTAGAAATGTATTTGGACTCCATCTCTCAATTAGCCTCCTCGCTCAATTGACCCTTCAAAAGTACTTTTACCGAAGCGATTGTTTTTGCCCTCAGCTTTCGAACCTGTCTGTCAAAAATAACTACCAGCTCTTTTTCATACGCCGAATTCTCATCTAAATGCATAATGTTGAAGTCCAAAACATGTAAATTATCTTCATGATACTTCCGTATCATAAAAACAGCAGCCCGATGCACTAAGCTCCCTAGCGGGGTTTAGGGAAGGGCCAGACCACAAGAGTCTATTGTACGGATCTTTACCCTATATTTTTGCAAGAGGTTTTTTCCACGGCTCAAATCCGTGATCTCCCGATCACATAGCAGTAACTTTACCAGTTACGCCAAGGCTCCCCTTCTGTAGCACAGAAACATAAAATACTGAGTGTAACCCCGACAGGTTTGGAGGCAAAGGAAGCCTATAAGCCACATCTCCAACTCTCTCCAACACCTCAAATGGGCCAATGATCCTTGGACTCAACTCGCCCTTCTTACTAAACCTCATTACACTTTTCAAGGGTAAAACATTCAAAAGTACCTTCTCACCATCCATGAATGCCACATCACAAGCCTTCTTATTCGCATAACTCTTTTGCTTACTCTGAGCTATCCAAAGTTTCTCTTGAATCAACTCCACCTTTTCCATAGGATCTCGCACCAAATCTGTACCCAACATCCTAAACTCACCATGCTCAAATAAACCAACAGGAGAACGACATCATCTATTATACAAAGGCTCATATGAAGCCATCTGAATACAGGACTGATTGTTGTTATTGTAAGTAAGCTCTGCCAAAGGCAAGAAGTGATCCCAATGACCTAAAAAATAATCACACAAGCTCTCAACATGTTCTCAAGAATTTGAATAGTCTGCTTGGACTGGCCATCAGTTTGCTGGTGAAAAGCCATGCTAAGCTGAACTTGTGACCCAACTCCTGCTGTACGGTTCTTCAAAAGTGATATGTGAATGAAGTACCCCAGTTTGAAATGATAGAAATAGGAACATCATGCAAATGGTCTATCTCTCGAATGTAAATCTGGACCAACCTCTCCGAAGTGCAAGTAGTCAACACCGGTATGAAGTGTACAAACTTGGTCAATCTATCAACAATGACCCCAAAAACATCATACTTCCTCAAAGTACCTATTAAGACTACCACGAAGTCCATAGTAATATACTTCCACTTCTACTCCAGTATAATGATCTGCTGAATCAAACCACCTAGTTTCTAATATATATATACTTGAGTTGTTTGCAATTAAAACATAGTGAAATATGTTCAAAAAAGTCATTCGTCATCCTTCTCCACCAATAGTGTTGCTTCAAGTTACTATACATCTTTGTAACACATGGATTAATAGAATATCGCAAACTATGAGCCTCCTCAAGTATCAATTCCCTCAAATCATCAACATTAGGCTCACACAACTGGCCTTCAATTCGCATAATACCATCATCTCCAATAATAACCTTTTTGGCACCACCTCATCGCACAGTGTCCTTAAGCCTTAGCAAATGGAGATCATCATACTGGCAAGCCTTAATGCGCTCA